GGAGAGCATCTTCCAATATTTGAGGGGCTGCCCCAGAGAGGAGGAAGGGAGCCAAGCAATTTTCCAAAGCCCCCGAAGGCCAGACAAGGAATAATGGATGGAAACTGAACAAGGAGAGATTCAACCTGGAAATGAGGAGAAATTTCCTGACAGTTAGAACAAGTGGAACAGTTTGCCTCCAGAAGTTGTGATGCTCCAACACTAGAGGTTTTTAAGAAGATATTGGATAACCATTTGTCTGAAATGGTATAGGGTTTCCTGTGTAGGCAGGGGGTTGGACTAGAAGACCTCCAAGGTCCCTTCCAACTCTGTTATTCTATTCTATTCTGTTCTATTCTATTTCTCCACAAGGAACTGGAATAGTCCTATTCCTTCTGCTAAATAAGAGCTGGCATATTTCTTGGTGTTGGGGGGCGGAGATATAGAGGGTTGCCCCATTGGGGCTTCTTTCTCTGAGGAAAAATACAGCCAATTTTCAGTCACTCCGCCATCTTGCTTCTTCTCTGCCCAATGACGCAATCTTGAGTTCATTTTCCAGTTCACTTGCTTTTTTATTCCATTCGTAACCTCTTTGGCTATTTACGCTCCTGGGGAGGAAATTTCCCTCGTAGTAACATTTTAACTAGCCCGGCTGGAGTTTTATATAAAGCTGGATGGGCCTCACCCCAAAGAGTCGGTCCAAAAGAATAGGAAAACAGCAGGAAAGCTACAGAATTGAGGTTGCCTCAACTGATTTTGACCGGCCCTAGGGATCTCTCCATTGATATACTAGCTATAGATTATAAATTTCCAGATACCGACTCCACCGTCTTGTCTTTCTGCATCACCATGACGTTCGCCGACATTTTGGACAATGTCGGAGGAATGGGCCGTTTCCAAAGAATGATGGTCAGCTTCCTAGCCATCCCGCTGTTGATGCTGGCCAGCCATAACCTCCTGCAAAACTTCACGGCCGGCATCCCGCAGCATCACTGCCAAATCCGCATTGCCTCCAATGCCACCCGTCAAGGCAATGGCAGCATGGGGAATTTGGGAGCCGATCAGCTCCTCCGGATCTCCATCCCGACCGATGCGTCGCGGCGTCCCGAGCAATGCCGGCGTTTTGCGGCCCCGCAGTGGCGCTTCCTAGACCCGAATGCGACTCTGAGCAATGAGACTGTGTTGGACACCGAAGCCTGTGAGGATGGATGGTCTTACGACCGGAGCGTGTTCAGCAACACGATTGTCAGTGAGGTGAGAAAGAAACTGGGTTTTTTTATTTTATTTTAAAGGGATGAGAAAAAGTTTAAATATCTTAGAGCAGCGCTTAGCAACTTTAAGACGGGTGGACTTCAAGTTCAGTTTAGTTTATTGTCATTACAATGAAATTAAATGCCGTCTTCATTGTAACTATCAAAAATAAAAACACACACATCCTTCACATTCAATATATAATTGAAATTGAAAACTTCTGATATTGCATTAATACTGCACTGCACCGTAGAATTCAATAGGGTTGCTGGCCCTGGGAGAGAAGCTGTTTTTCAGCCTGTTTATCCTGGTTTTTATTCTCCTGT